TTTGATTTCGTGATTCCCAACCACCAAAGAGCGTGTGATCTTACGCACATTTAAATGACTTAATTATATTTATTACGAATGCCAGGCATTTTAAAAGTTCTCATTAGACCTTGACTGACTTCGAACTTCACAGAGGGGAGAAGCATCAAAGTTCAAGAGGGTGGACCGAAGAGTGATTTGCAGATGTAAAAAAGACAAGCACAATGATGGAGAGTAGGGTAAGGTGAATACTATAGAAGTGGTCGACTATGACATACAGCGAGGTCATAGAAGTTTGAAGTGAGAAGTCAACTGCCGGTTAATAGACTTTTTTGCCGTATGAGTATACGTTGCCCAGGGTGCACCACGTGAAGGTCAGTCTATCGCACACCACCAAAGGGCGTGTGATCTCACGCGCATTTAAGTGGCTTAAGTATATTGGGGTCAAGTGAAGATATTTCAAAGGTAGCCGAAAGCATAAAAGAGCTATTTTCGGATTTTGTTTTACAGGAATCGTTTATGATAAAACGTAGAAAACATACTAATTCAATCATTCTGAAGGTCAATTCGATTACATTAATTAATCTTCATCAAACTTTGATCAAGTTAGGCCTGATGAAAGGCATTGCCTTCCAATCAACTAATTGAAAGTTGAAAAAACCTTGAAATATCAAAAGAAATTAGGTAAGTTACAAAAATTCCCTTCCTAATTCCATTAATTCCAATTTAAAATTTCTAAAATGCAAATAAACGGTTCTAAAATTTTGTTAAATGTCAGAATTTTATACTTGTCAAGTTCATGCTCAATTTATTGCTTCGCATCCAGGATGTTTCAATAAGTTAACCATCGAAGAGAAATGTGTTCCAAACGTAAATACCTTCCGGCTGTCAAAAAAAGATCCCAAGATAAGTCAATATTTTGCCTCCTACTACATATATAAAATTACAATCACTTGGTTGCTATGTAAGTAATTCAGTTTACACACTTTTGTTCATTCTGATTTTTATTTTGCAATTTTACTTTCTCGTGACTTCAGGCAACATCGAGGGTTTGAGTAGCTTCAGCACAATCTAAACAATTGATTTTTATCATAAAAACGTAACTGAAAATAACGCGGCATTACTATTCATACTAATACGGTCTTATGCTCATCGACATCATGTTGATTTTTTTCAGAAACAAAAGGTATTAAGAGAAACAGGAAATTGTTAAATGAACGTCAATTTTATCATCTAAATTCCAAAAAAGGCAATAATTCGCCCAAATTGTTTCGATGATATTTTCGATAAGTTAATCCAGGACTCCTAATTTTATTAAGAACCTGTCAATATAAAATTAATTATCATTGATAAATAACTTCAAGGGTGAATAATAGAAGCAATCGGCAGTGAATTGCTGTGGAGAACACAACACTAACATAGTTAAATAAAGGGATGTCATGAGTTAGAACATTGCAGAAGGGGAGGTGCGAAACTGATCTCGTGATCATCAAGTGCGGTCGTAATGATGATCGTGTTAGGGAGCATGAGCGTTGCGAGCTCGGAGCCCCACTTAACCAATCAACAATCAATAAAGCTCGCCGTGATCAGAGTAGACAAAATTTGCATTTGAGGGTTAAGCTTCATGACAGTGACACACCCAATCCAAATAAGCGAAGCTCACCTCATAAATCTGTTGCCTCCATAGCGTTGGGGTGGCTTAGCTAACTACTGGGAGACCTTCCATGCTGTGAAGGGTTTTGCCGTAGAGATTACTGAGGATAAGCCCTCTTATCCATACCATTTGTAGTCGTCCATCAATGCATTCAACAGGACTCACAGTCGTAGATCCAAGCTCTGCTTGAGATTCTGCCCTCAAATGAAGTCCATCGTGTGGTCAGAACTTAAGATTTAGCTACCACGGGAATCTTTGCTTAACTAACCTCTTACAAAATTTGAATGTTTTCGAATAGGGGTGTGCAATAGACTTACCTCCACGTGGTGCACCCTTGACGGCGAAAAAGTCTATTAACTGGCAGTTGACTTCTGACTTCAAACCACCATGACCCCCACTGTACGTCATATTCGACCACTTCCACAATACTCGCCTCATCTTTTCTCTACGTTTGTGACTGTCTGTCTCTTTTACATCTGTGGATCTCTCTTCTGTTCCCCCTCTGGACCTTTTTGTCACTTTGAAGTCAGCTTAAGGGCTAATGATAGCTGTCAAACCGCCTGTCATTTGAAATATATATGTTTTCGAATATGTAAAAAGGGAATAAGGTTTATAACAATGCTTCAGAAAGAAAAAACACTAATTTCGTGGTGATTAGTTAAAAATCATTTTAGTAGTATTACAATTAAAATAATAATTTCCACCTCTGTACAGATATACTCTTCTAATCATTGGTATCACAGCCGTAATCAAAATCGTCATCTTTCGGTAAAAGGGAGATAAAGAAGTATCCACACTCATAGTTGGCGACATCACTTCGTGCAACATCTTCAAGGCACTTGTAAATTGGATGGATAAATCCTCGTCCCAGACTCCGATGCTCAGAAAGGAGATTGAAACACCGCTCGGCAGGTCCACGATGAAGCCTCAAAACTCGAGCAGTGATTGTGCGGTTGGATGCCAACCTTCCAGATGAAAGAGAGGACACATCTGAGCAACTGTCGTCATCAGCATCGATGTTGCCCCCAGTTTTGTCATCATAAATCGGCCAGAGAATTTTGAGCAGCGCACCTCGTGAAGTACCCACCAAAAGGAAACCATGCTTAGCAGTGAAGAGAAGTTGTTCGACACTTCCAATCGAAGAAACTAAAATTAAGAAATTAAGACAATAACCAAATTATTCAAAAAGTAAAGTTTCTGGATATTTCCATACCAATGTCAGGAAAATCAGTGGCAGTGATGTCTTGAACGTGGAGGTTTCCACCGTCAAAATCGAGCTTGATGGATTGTAGTGGAGCCCGGGTTCGAACTGACCAGCAAACGATTTCGCCAACTAAAGTGTTGAAAAATAAACGAATCATTATGCCACGATGATAATAAGAGCATCAAAAAGAATCAAGAAGTTGGAGAGAAGACGTGCAGGACATGTGATGCCACTCTGTGTACCACAAACTACTCGATCAGATATGTAGAGCCTGCGGGTTGCTCTTGAAAATAGTTGAATGTCTGCCACATTCTCAATCACATTGTTACGTCAAGCGAACTACAGGGGCATATGCAATTTATTCTTCGAATGAACACAGAGACTGGTCACTATTCAATCCAGATTTTTCGTCATTTACTTAGTGGTTGTTATGTAACGATAAGAAATGCAATAAATAATGCGGTAACCACATTCACTACTGTCTGCCAACCGAATGCCTTCATTCATAAACCCTTCGAACCACAGTGTCTCTTAACATTATTTACAACTTGATATGAAATTATTAAATTAGTAACTAAGATAGTTATTTTCTATAGTGACTCCTGAATCACTGCATATTTTCGAGATATAGATGTTCTGAATCACATAAGGAATCCTTTTTTATAGTAAAAATAATAATAATAATAATAACTCCCAAACACTCCACTTTTGTAGACAGTGTCACTCAGCTACCTTTTTGAGAGGTTCAATTATATCTCCCTCTTTATCAGCCGGATTGGTCCAGTACCACTTATCAGGGTGCGTACCTAAGAACACCAGACGTCATTCGTTGTGGTAGAAAAGAATCACTACTGTGCTGTTACGTGCCTATGTAAACCATTGATACAGATTGAGACATCCTATATAGGCCATAATAATCACATATATATTGTCATAAGTGGCCATTAGGACAGCTTTAAAATGAATGCTGACAAGTAATCAGCAAATAGCTATCTATGTCAAAAGTGAGATTGTAACAAGCGAGAACAGCCACCTCTTACCTGGGTAAGAGGAAGTCCAAACCCTCTGTGGACATCGCTCGTCGGCACCTATACTCCAACTTGAAGTAATGCAAGTGACAGCTGGTGATTTATCACAAAGGCGTCCACAGCCGTGAGGTGCACTTGATGGCCTTTTTGTTGTTAATGGCAACGGACCAATTTCTGTGTCATTTGATATGGAGGCTTTCCATGTGGAAGTTTGCTGCCAAGCTTCTGTATTGGGTAGTCGTTGATATTCTGCTAAGTTGTTGGATGTTCCTCCCAGCCAAATAAAACTGAAACCGTAAAATATTTGCTACTGAAATGAAATAAGGGAATGGTGATCTTTCATCTAAATAGCTTTCACTTGCTTTTCGGAAACCCTTGCACCACAAAGGTAGAGACACGAGCCTGAGGATTGTTTGATTCGTCTGTTTTGGTGAAGTGTATTCAAATGCCAGGGTACAAGAATCGCTGATGCAGAGTTAGGAGTTTCGGGTGTCAGATGGACAGAGCATATCCAACCAGTAGAGAAAATGAGAATCATTGTGTACTTATCAGCAGGAAACATCAAAATGCAGTCACCATCCATGGGATTATGAGATCCTTTCAACAAAGAGGTGCTGGCTATGAGAGACAGCGTTGATATACTAAATAGAAAGAACGAATGAAAAGAACACTTGTTAAGATTATAGATATGCATGGTGACCATACACTGAGTTCTTTAAATTAAAACGAAAACACTAACCTGAAGATCATTAATCGGCCAACACAGTCCACGCACCATAGACGATCACCATCATCGACAGCCACAGCGACAGGATAACCCTCGCCAAGCAAATTTATAGGCAGTGGAGATGGCTTTGGTAAATGATCACAATCTTCATAATTACGATGAAACCACGAGCAGGCAAGGACACATTGAGATGTCGTTCCATCCGCCATCAGTGCAAAGAGTCGTCCAATGCGATTGCTGGAAGTCGATCGCGAAAAAAAAGCGTCCCCGCTAATGTTTAGACCATCCGAATCTGTTTGCGAGCTGTAGCCGCCAATCCAAATACGATCCTCGGAGTCTGCAATACGAAACAAGCTGCTTCTTGGATTCAAATAGATGCAAACTACGCATTTGATTAATGTAAATGACTAACCTATCACAGCGCACGTTACCACCTCAACAGCATCCACGCGCATAACATTGCGAATTTGACCGAAACCTGTGTCAACTGTCATTGGCAAACCTGTCTGCCTAAGACATCGACGATTTCCAGAATCCAGAGAAATGGTAGAAGGGGGAGTTGACAGGTGAGGTGGTGGGAGAGTACTCTGTGTGACCTTGACAATAGATGAGGCTTCCGGGCGTTGCTGAGGTTCGTGAGACCAGCAAAGACTCATGAGATCCAGATAGGGTATAGAACAATGGGATTTGATCTAAAGTAAGAAATAAATAGAGGACGTTGTTACACACCTCTCTTTAAATGGCAAACCAATTTTCTAGTACTCACTATAACCCGAAAAAGCTTGCACCTAAATAAGAAAACGTCTTCTAACACTTATCTTGGAAGCAAACGGGGAGTCGTGGTGAGAACCTCATCCACCTCACGAACCATATGGAATCCGCTGATGTCAGACTATTCACAGACGCTTGTGTTAGCCTCCATGCAGCCTTTCTCACGAGTTCTATTTAAGAATTCACCACTTTTTAAGCCTAGCATCCAATGTTTCACCTCGACAACCTAGATGGAAGTCGGGAACTAGATTTGCCCCAATCAAATCAAAACAAATATATACAGAGAGAAGTAAAAAGCATATAACCTGATTTTTAATTTGGAATATACTCCACAGTACCCTGGCTACAAATGATTTCTTCTTAGGCCATATTTTTTTATAAAGCAAAATGAGAAATATATCCAACGGCTCAATGAAAAAGTGTTAATTTATAAAGGAACTCTTTACTTCATGTCTAGAAAACCAATCTATGATTTTTTAACTCAATTCCCGTCGTACCTTTGCTGGTATATCAGGTCGACCTCTAGATAGGATATGCTGATTAAGTTGAAAACGAAGATTTGTGAATCCGTGATATGGTAATTGAAACGTAGCAATACTTGACATCAAAATACCCAGAGCGTATATGTCCACCTGGAAACAAATGCAAAACAACGCATTAGGACGTAAAAAATGGATATCAATATTAATAGATCTTAAAAAAACGAAGTACCTTGTGAGTATAAGTGTCCTCACCCAAGCTGGCTAAAACTTCAGGCGCCATGAAACCAGGAGTTCCAACATATCCACGACAACCATCCAAGCTTGCTCGCCATCGACTAACACCAAAATCACTCAAAACAACCCGAACTTCCGATGAGGGATGGTTCAAACGGTGAGAGTACGAATTCCGAAGTGTTCCAGACTTAGGCAAATTGGAGTTGAAAGTGATTGGAGGTGGCATATGCCAGACTAGAATATTATCCGGCTTGAGATCGCGATAAACAATACGAACTTGGTGGAGATAGGCTAAAGCAGTAGCAGCCTGATGAATTACACTCGTGAGTGTGTTCTGGTGAACAGGATAAACACCCTCAATTTCGTAGGAGCACTTCATTTCCTCCATCCAATCAGAGAGACTCCCCTTGGGTGCCAGAGGGAGAAGAAGAGTCAGAGGTCTTGGCGACACAACTCCAAGGTAAGTCAAGAGGTGTCTTGCAATTATTTGTTCACTGGGTCCTCGAAAATTGAAGGAGAAGAGCTTTGGACGGTTAGCGCTCTTGGCGGAACTTCGTTTGAGGGTTCCACGGCGAGATAATCGGATGGAGCCATGTGAGCGTAGAAGTGTGGAGGAATCGTGTGGGGCACTGAAACACCCACTTTGGTAATTGCAAATAGATAAAGGAGAGTCATCGTCGCCAACTCGCATAAGAACAGCCAGCTCCGATCGTAATTCCTAGCCAGTAAAATACATTGATGTTAGACTCTCCATCAAGATAAACACTAATTCATCAGTGTAGCAGTGGGGGGGGGGGATTTTTTCTGGTCAGAATGAAAGAGGTCCCATAATTTCAGCAAACAAAATGATGATCTATTTTAAATCTACTTTAGCTTCTTTATATGCCTCAACGCTATTTCAGTGCCTATTCATTACCCGAACCCATAACACAGTTCTGTAATCGAGTACAAAGTCAAAGGTCAAAGCAACTCAAAATTGGTTTAATTGTCTCACACACTAAGGCGATTCCACGAGTCAGCTTTCACAATTTAATGTAATTCCAGCAAACAATCCCCGACACATCGACAATAATAGCACTAAGTGCAGAGAGGAGAAATGTAATGATGTGCGAGCTTTGAACTGGCAATATACATTTCATTCGGAAAAATTGTGCACTGTACAATCGCAGGCATCCTCTCAAATAAAAAATTTCATTATAAGAAAACTACCAACACACACACACACACACACACACACACACACATATATATATATATATATATATATATATTGATTGATTGAATAATAGATCATTAACTAAAGTGGAACACAAGATTTCTTCGAGAATTAGATTATTTACAATGGTGAAGTAAAGTCTTCAAAAGTCGTTTATAAAAGAAGAAAAGATGGTGGATTCCTACCGACCTGATAAGCCGTAAAACAAGATTCCACAGGTTGGAACGACCATCGACGTTTTTCTTGCTTATACAAAGCAAGAGCTACACCGAGATCTGAAGTTCCTGTTTTTGAGGTTCGAGAATCAAGAGACACACCCTTGGAATCATCTTCTAGATCAACTTTGTCTGTGAATGGTTGCCAGTCACACAGTCGGATGCCAACTTCCGTTGGATTGATTGGAGAAAAGATTTTCACACCAACAGGAACCTAAATTAATCAAGCCAGCCCAATGACATACCGTTTCAATAAAGCAAACAAATTAATCACTAACAAATCACCTTCACCAAATTGAGAAGAGAATCGTTCGGCCCCGGAACATTGGGAGTAGAGGCGGAAGAAAGGAAAGCAGAACCGGCAAAGACAGAACCGAAAGCTCCACGACCAAGAAACTTCTCTAAAGTAGCTTTACCTCCAGATATTCTCATCTCCGTTCTCACATCATCAAACAACAAATCTGGGGCTGAAATACCGTTATAAGTAGTATGTGAGTGCATGGGGCAAGGGAGGATTTCGACACTAGTAGCTTGGTCCAAGGACTCTTGATTGCGAGCTGGTGTTAACAGCCAGTGGACCAATTCCTCCACGAGAATTCCATACACGATGTTAGATCTGAAATCGAAAGATCCCGATTACTTAATATAGTTTAAGTAACACGAACATTCTAGTATAAAAGGACAGTACGAATTCTTGAACTGTTTGACTAAATCGCTTTCCGATTCACGACTATCATTGCTTTCGCCGCTTAAAACACTATCCAGAGAAGATACTGCATCTCTCAGGTCTTCCGTTTGCCTAAAAAGTCAAAGCTAGCTTGAGGACTGAATAAAACGGTTTACCTAAGACGAAAGGACGCATCTTGAACACAATCAGTACAAGGAATAACTCGATGAATGAGGTATTCCCCGTTATTTGATTGGCTAAAACGCGTTCCAAGGTCAGGATACCAATCCTCTAATAGACAGTCAATATGGTGAACAATCTAAAGAAAAGAGGAAGTAATCGCACAGACCACTAGCTTACTTTTGTTAGAATTTGTGTTAGGATGCGTCTGTCGGGTTGTAGACAATAAGTACTAAAGCCATTGTCATGAGCACTTTTGGAAGGGTCTTGATAAGCAGGCCATTGAATTGAGAATGAAGGCATGTGGAGTTGGATCAGGCAGTACTTTGCGAAGTCATCTGCAAAATGAACAAGAAGAACTCTAGATTCTTTAAAAAATATAACAAAAAATTGAGATAATGGAATATGAGAAAGAAAGCTTCTTTCCGTTTTTGTTACTTAAACTGTATAACAATTCAAAACTAAGGAGGTATTAAAGCCCTAAGCAAACCCCCCCCCCTAATCAAAATGGGTGGCGATGGTATATTTTTTCAGATACTCTTTAAAAGTGCTTTGGAAGGCTGAGACTGTACACCGACACCGGTGCAATAACTATTGAAGTTGACTTTACTAGTCCTCATTCCACCTACATGCTCAGTACACTCAGTCAATTATTTGTATTATCGCCTTCATCCCACCGTATAAGCAACCTTGTTTACACTCGCCACATCTGAGCCAAGAGGGTGACCCATAAACACAACTTCCAGTTTCTCCACTAACCTTGCTGTTGGCTGTACATAATGAAGCCCGCCCTCTTCTATATCTTGCTCCTCTGGGAATGTGAGTAGTAATGAAGGGGACAGCACAGTAAGACGTCTTAACTCTCTCCCCCCCCCTCACTAAAAACTTACCGAAAGATTCAACAATCAATCCACTCTTTTCTGCCTGTTCTACCTCGACCCCACGCAAATGTTCCCGAAACTCCTCCCCACAACCAGTTGGCAATCGCATGAGGTAGAGATTCCACGCTCTGAAATCCGCTTCATCCAGTCCTCCAAGAGCACTCCTTTCATCTACAAAGGTCGAGTCACCCTTCTCCAGTCCGATTTCTCTCAAATCAAAATCACCTAGCCTTATTGATTCGTTGGCTTCCATGGCTATTTCCGTTTCTTCGATGGACTGCAAAGTGAGACAGAAGCGTTTTAAGAAATGATTGGGGTAAATTTTGTCGTCAATGGGGGTATCGAAATGCTCACAGCTGTGGCGAAAGAGACACGATTTCCAACTTGTTCAAGAGTGAAAACGGGTAAAGCTCCTCCAGCCAAAGTCAGCTGGATTCCCATTCGTGAGAGGTTCCATCCGCATTGAAGAGTTCCAGTGGAAGAGGAGCGATTTTCCAAACTCAATAGACTAGCTCGCAACTCTGGCGCTACTGTAGATAGGTTGTAAAGATGCCTATAGAATTCAAATATTTTGAGTAAGTTGATACTACTTCGAATTTATCTTAAGTGAAGTTAAATCCAGGAATGTTCTCGAAAAAGCGCCTTCAAACTTAAAGTCCTTAAGCCCCTAGTAATACAGAGTGGCAGATGTAGAAGTGTTCCTGCGTGAATACAGAAAGGTAAACTAATACCACCCCTCTCTCTCTCTCTCTTTCGTAGAATGACCAATAAGAATGAAGCTTGAATACACCGTCCTTCAGTACAAATGTTTGTAAAAAGTAATTACGACAATAAGGTTCACTTTAACTTGTCGTTTGTCAAAAGATATTGTAATGGGAGATTTGGAATGCTACATCAACGTGAAATTGTGGTCTGAAAAAATAATAATAGACTAAATGCATTGGTCCATATTAACGTCATGATCGCTCAAAAGCAAGCCTAAGTGGATATCTAAATCGATATACCAGCTTTTAATCGTTAATCATGTATAAATTAAGACATGCGTAGGGAACATACCCACAGATGACATTGAGATCTGAGTCAGTGAGCAATCGAGTTATAAGTCTAGTCCAAAATCCAGCGGGCACGTAGGAGAGCGCATAAACCCTTAGAACCTCATGTGCGGATGGTGCAGCTTGACATATCCAAGATGGCACCTGAAGGTGATCTGGAGGTAAAGCACTCCCTCTTCGAAATGCCGCTTGGCGCAGTTTGTCTCCCCGATCGAAAACAATCGACGGTGAGGGGACACTGCTCCCTGTGGTCTTGTGTTTATGACCTCGAAGGGCCTTGGGAACAAGATTTGACGCCAATTTGGCGAAAATGCCATGCTTCTTTGAAGACTCCATGGATGAAGCAGACGATTCACTCGAATCCTCAGCTATCGGTGGAGGGAGTTGTGGTTCTATAAATTTCTTCGGTCGAGTTCCTCGTGGAAGTGTGTAGACAGAACAATCCAAAGGATCAGAATCTTTCAGGAATGCTTCAATACCTGATTGTCTCTGGTTTGTATCAGCAGTATTTAACGGAGTTATCCTAATCTTAAATGTAAAAAATGATTAAAGAAATTACTCACATAAAAAGAGACCACTTACCTGACGATTAGGAGCATCCGAAATCTTCCAATTAAAATCTGCCAGTTTTCTCATGGGTAGAAGAACAGGAACTAAAAGATGTTGAGAGTCTAAAGGAGCTCCCAATTCGAATTTCCCCAGGAGGCCGACAAGATAAGTCATAGCGAAAGATACTTCCAGATGTTGAAATCGGTGCATAAATCGATCGATATCCTCAGACTTCTCAGGCGCGACAGGGACACTTTGTATGTCTGAAGATATTAGCAAATCCTTCAGTCGGGAAAGGTTCAGGACTCCTGGAAGAAAATGAGGGGCAAATATGTGGTCAAAAGCAAAATGAACACAATCAATAAGCTGGTAATCAATATACCTGCTCGAATCGATTGAACCTCAGTGCCACTTATGAGCAATCGAAGCAGAAGATCACAGAGCCAAAGGGGATCCAGCACAATGGCTTGCGAGAGGTTGGCAAAGTACTGTAGAAAACCAACTTCGTGAAGAAATATCAGGGCTGAACGAATCACTTCTTCACTCTCCAAACCACTGGAAGTACTTGTCTCATGAAACCGAATATTCACTTCATTCCTGGATTTCGAAGGAAAGGTTAAGATAGGAAGAGCCTGATAGCAGCGTTTTAGAAACCAAAGCCAAACTCTTACACGAAATCCTCGAAGCTTACTATTGGTGGTATCCCAGCAACACGAAGGTCTTTCGCAAGGTCACGAATAACACCTTCAAGTTCATGGTAGACTAAAGGAACAGAGTAGCTAAGAAATCTTTGACGACCGGGCTCATATTTTGTTCCGATCAGTGGTTTTCGAACTAAAATGGGAAAACTTATAATAAATATCCTACTTAATAAAAAGTAGTAGAAGGAATGACAAGTATTACAAGGCGGCTTAAGTAAATTAGCAGCTGAATGAATGCTAGTAGCAAGTTGATGAATCTCGCTCAGATTGTTGTAATCATTAAGATCGGTGGGATTAATATTAAAGCGACCGAAAATCTGTTGAGAGAAACCCATTGCTGAAGGATCTGATGAGTGAATAAAGCATCGATCGATAATTTCGGAGACATTGGAGGCCATGCAAGAAGGAAGGTCATCATGAGTAGTAACAAGAGCAACCGGCGCATTGGGAGCTCGAGTCTATTCAAATTACAATAAAAGTATAAGGTTGGAAATGACAAAAAGTGTTTGTGATTAATATGCCTACCTGAATGTCAACCAAGTGTTTTGCTAAAGTGTGCAAACCGTCTGGAGCATCTGTGGCACTCCAGACCACTACATAAATGGTGCTCTTTGTCATGAGAAACTGCTGAACAGCAGAAAGAACACCCTCAGCTTCATCTCCTCTTCCGGAGGGGGTTTGAAAGTCCCAGACGCCAAATTCAACACTTTCTGTCCACTCATTTATGGGTCGATCGGAGGGGCATTTTCGGGTGATTCGCAGTGGGGTGATAGTCAAAAGGGCAGGATTCTCCGATTCTACAATACTTTGATCTTGATCTTCACAGCGAAGAAGGGCTCTCAACAGACTGGTTTTGCCAACACTACGAGAACCGATCAACATTAAACGGACTTTGTCGTAGGGCTTAGAGCTAAACATATGCAAAACAGGTATTACAAAAAATTATATTAACCTTCAGGCGAGATTTAATTACAAAGTCATCCTGCGATAATTTGTTTAAGGGTAGGTAAAAACGGGAGGGGGGGAGGGGGGGGGTGAGGCTTTAGGGCGGGTAAAAGTTGTGTGACCCAAACTTTAAAAACTAAAAAATAACGAGGAGGAGACGCGAAAAGAAATCCTTCGGTGCCTTCAAGGCTTAAAGCCTTAATGAAAAGGTAGGAACATTTGCAATAGAAAACACTGATTTCAGGACCACAATCTTGCCAGTTCACAGTGTGCATTCTTTACCTTCGCAAATACAACATCTGAACCAATAGGTTTTCGTGCCCAAATCGGAAAATTTGAAGCGAGCTTCGGGTTCAGCAAACGCAGTAATACGCTTAAACTAAATTGCAAGAAAAGGGGATTCATTTGAAAGGGGTGATTTCATTAAGACGATTTTTTTTCAAATTGACCTAAGAAGTAGTCGGCTTTCAGTCATGGGATAAACGACTTTTGTTCTTTAAAGCAAAGTGTCATGTCCAGTTTTGGACAGATCACCTCCAACCGAATATAAGGCCATGGAATAATCTCAACAATAAAGGAGGGGCAATCGTAGAGATATCAAGATGGCAAACCCCTCAACTTCATCCACACCATTTCAGTAAATTTGCTATTGGAAGATGTAAACTCCCATTTCCATAAAGTAAGTTATATGCTTTTTAAGCGGTACTTTATAGACTTTATAAATACCTTGTCAGTACTAACCTTCTCGGTAATGACTTAAGATGTTCCAGAATGGTCTTTGTATTGAGGATTGGCAAGTCTGCCGATTTTGACAAAGTAATTGGAGAAATAGGCACATGAAACCCCCGACCACGGGAGCCCTTTCCACGATGTTGTTGGTGGAGCTTGTGGCGTTGTCGTTGAACCACTTCTTCAGCTCGAATATCATGAACCAACTTATCATAGGCAGGAGTGTTGAAGAGAGTCAAAGATTTGAGCTTTGAAAGACGCCAAAGATCCGATGGAAGCTGGAAGAAAAAAAGCATCAAATTGGCCAATTGTTTAAGGTGTACTTACCTCCGCTAGGGCACAACAACCGTCCAACTCCAAGGAAGACAATTTCTCAAGACGACACACAGATGGACTCAAAGATTTGAGCTCGACATTGCCAGAGAGATCCAAGCTAGTGAGTTCTGGAAACCAGAGATGGGTATCTGACAAACCACTGCCACCCTAAACAAGTTAAATCCCATCAATGAACCGAAAAAAACAGCAATAATAATAAGGTAATAAAAAAGGATGCGTTTGACTTGCAGAGGGGGAGATGGGATTAAAGGTAGAAAGCTTGTTATTTCGAATATTGAGATGAAGTAGTCGCCTAAACTGTCCGTCAGAAATTGGTGGAGAGGATGATTTTCGACCACCGTCAGGCGAACTGGTGGGAAAAAATAACGATTGATGAATATTCCTTCATAAGGTGAATTCATTCGCCTACCGGGGTGAAATATCAGTTTTATGACTCGGTTTGGGAATGATTGGCCAATATCACTTGGTAAAAATCATCTTCTTTTGGAGTTTTAGTGCTCCACTTCAGCACCTATTATGGAAAGGGTTCACAGCACTTGACACAGATAGGAGGAAGATATACTAGAGTGGCTCTATCACTACTCTTGAAGACCAGTATTGGATACAAATGATCGGTGTGACCTCCGATAATCATTGACCTCGTGACCTCTGATTACTCAGAATTGCACGTTGACCACCAAAGATGTAACCTCTTACCGACTCCCGTAGATCTCTGACATTTAATAACTCAAATGCAATAGAATGCCTTGTGAATGAGAAAAGATTCTCCTTCTGAGGTCTTCTGGATCTTTCGAACATAACGCTAATTAGCGATACCAATTAACCGATCTAATTGAAGATCATATGAAACGTGAGAAACGAAGAATAGGATGTATAGCTTTCGAACTCACTTCGCAGTATTGGATGAGATCTGCTTTCCATCATATGACAGCCCAACTGATGATATCTGATTATTCGACAGATCTAAGTGTACTAAATTGGGCGGAAATCTCGAGGGTGGTGGTAAAGGACCAAACAGTTGATTTCCAGAAACATCTAAACTAGTCAAAGCAGGCGCCAGAAGATGCAGTCCCACGTCTACGGAGCGCATTTCGTGCGAGGACCTTCGGCTAGTATTCGGCTGAATTTCTGAGAGAGGAAGGCGAACCAGACGATTTCCTTGCAACCAGAGGTGCAAAAGACCGCCAGTCCAATGATGACGGTTTATGGTAGTAGTCAGATTGCTGACCGATACGGAGGAGGAGCTGGGAATAGCTAGGTCCTTATCCGATTTCAGCAATGTCATAACTTTAACACCATTTGGTATTATAGGAAGGCAGGAAATAGCTCTCTCCGAGGTTAAATCCTAAATTAGATTAAGCAAATGTTTAATCGAAACTTCAAATAGTCTTTTCCAAAAAAAAAACAATAAAGAAGAAGAAAGCACTACAGTTTCATCCGAAGAATCCAATCGAAGTGAAGCAGCACTGAGTATTTCCTCAACCGTTGCACAGGGTAGTTTCCCTATTGAATTTGCACTCAAATCCAGACATTGAAGTCTTCTAGCTAACCACATTTGTCGAGGGACACTTTGCAGTTTGTTCTCACAAAGACGGAGAATCGAGAGACGGGGAGCAAATGTGGGATTCGATTTTGCACCTATCGTGCCTAGAGTAAAATACATCAACTCCTTGAAAAATATCGGTAAAGCAAGTTAGATAAAAGGCGCGAATTCATCGAGGCTTACCGAATATCCAAGGGGGTATTGCAGAAAGAGAGTTGTTTGAAAGATCTAATCGAGTCAAATTTGGCGCTAGAACAGTGATCGACAAGGCTTTTGCATATTCTTCTAGTTGAGACTGACTGAGCAATTCCGTTATCAAATTTCGGCTTAAATCCAGCTCCTAAAACCATTGCGAATGTAGCAAAATCCGATGAGAAAGCAGTAAATATTTCCTAAACAACCTCACCTCCAGCGACGGCAATTGGGTTAAAAGACACATTGGAAGACAGCAGAGAGCATTATTTGACAAAGTCAGCTTCGTGATGGTATCCAAGGGGGACCAAGAGAGCCAGTCACTGACGAGAGTAGAGAAGACTTCTGGATCGCGACTTTCCGCTGAAAGATGCTCGTATAGCCGTCGATTGGACCAATCGATGATGTTGTGATTACCTCCCCACTTTTGTTGATAGAGAACACCGCCAACAAGGTGGAAGCGTTGACGATCAAGAAGGTAGTGCAGAAGCTTGTTCGATGAAGAAGATTTACGATTTTGGACCGTGGAGAGGAGATGAAGTATATCTGATATTAACTGGATTGAGAGCGTAAAAAACATAATAATTACTTAAAATATCAAAATATCTGAATGTAGTTCATATAGAGAGGAGTATTTACAATGTCAATAGGATTTGAACGATGTAGTCTAGCAGAGACACAATTCTGAATAGAAAGACACAGTCAAGATGACTGATAGTATGCACTAAATGTCACGACTATACTACAGAACTAGGTGTATATTTTTTATTCTTTATTCATTTACATTCAATTGACAATTGACGATATGCAAGTAGGAAACGAGTGAGGACTATTCCCCAAACGTTGCTAAATGCACGATACCCGCGCACATTAATCACCTAATGACCAAAAGACATTGCTTAGATAAGACTGGTATCAGAATGACTTTACTATTAGTGCCCAAATATCAGCCCATTATGAATATAATCTAATCTAAATGGATTAACAAAATGCGAGTGGAGGGTGAAATAAGATGTAAAAAAACAAAACGACAACAAAATACAGAGGAGGTTTAAATGTCATTTGCAAACATACCGACTGGTCCACACAATCGACATCATCCAGGCAGCAGGCCAAACCGACAGGAGAGCAGAGCAATCCCGCGGAATCCGAATTAGCCAAAGGTTCTGGATTCTCAACCACCCACTTCGAGCTCAAATCCCCACTTTTCTGTGAGAGAAGAGCTTCGGAAAGCCAACCACCATAAACCTCAGAATCTTCCCTCACGTAGGTCAACAGGCATTCAAGCAGATCCACATTTCTAAAATTGGGAAACACAACCGAGTACACATTAATGAAAGAAATTGAAAAGTTTAGGTATATAATGCTTGTAATTGTTAAAAAGTGGGCACTAAGACGATGCTAGCCATCAAGGCCGTTGGTACAGAAATAGGCTAAGGTAGCAACCTTAACAAAAAATGAACACACAAACGACCGATGAGAAAGTAGGACTTGAGATATGCTTGTCGACTATGTTTGTCCCCCCCCCTCATACCCTTGTACCTCAAATGCTCCTTCGCCCACATTCCTTTCATACTTTTATAAATCTGTGTATTGATTGTGCAGCCTAGCTAATGGCCCTAATAAGGTTCTGTGTTGCAAGCCTATGGTCTCATGTCTCCAACTAACTGTCAATTATTCATGAATGAACAATGAACGCCAAATTGATTAATCGCCTGACAGCGCATCAATTGGACCATTACACGCAACCAGGATAGTCCTGACTCACTGCTGACGCCTCCTCCTTCCTGCCTGGTATACATTTGCACCCTCTAACTCTTGTTTTTCAAACTTAGACTGTTGTTACCTCTTAGCCATAAGGGAGAGAGTCATTAGTTCTAGGAGGGCATGTCGAGTCTAATTTGATCCAGCTCTTAAGGTAGCTTTACAAACAGAATTAGACTTATCCCCCTCCCCCCTTTATGTCCCTTCAATCTGAGCTGTCTCACCTTTCAACATAGTAGGTTTATTAAGGTGCGAAAGCATATTGTCGACAGGCATAAGTTCGTAGGTCCCCCCCCCCCTCCCAGTGACCACCTAGCATCCCGTTCAGAAGTGGCTTAAAAAAAGAGGACACCGGAAGTGAAAGTGAAGATAAAAATCGATGTGAGAGATGCGGCTGAAAGTTAGGAATCTGACCAATCCTTTTTTAGGGTTTACAAAGAACAAGGATTAGGTGGAAAAAAAGATAACGCTTGAATGGGAATAAAGTAGGTAGCGTGATCTAAATAGATGCCGCAAGTATGTGCACAAGGCCAGTAAAGAGGAGAGGACATAAAGCCTGTCCAATGAAAGAAGCAAATAGGAGCTAAGACGGACAGAGTTTACTAATGGTAAGAGCAGAGGATAGTAGCCTGATCTAGCTAGTGACCTTGCTGAGGTCCCAGTTCACCGACCCCGTCGGTCCAATAAGCGTTGGTGCACCTCACTTTGGTCCAGCAAGAATGTGGGATTACTTCTAATCTCCTTGGGGTTCATATCACTTTCATTCACGTTGGTATTAACCGCTACAGGTGCTCTAATCAAAGCATTCTTTCTTTATAGCAGCGAATGCAAAATGAGTTGGGACAATGGGACTACAGAGCTAATATTCACTCGTAAAATGACCCATTCTCTTTCCCAGAACTGATGTTTGCCCTTATTCCATTGTAGACAGCTTCATTTTTCGTAAGTGTACATCCTCTTCTCCCCAGTTTCAGAAATAACACAAATATTAGTTTTGAAAGCTATGGCAGCAAGATATGCAGATTAAAACAGCATCCTACTCGCCATTATTAAGTAGTTTCGTTTACTAAGATTATGAGAAGAGGAAATAGTTGAATATATGGGCTAGCATATAGCGATTAATGCTCTCAATCAACTCGGATAGGAAACCCACAGTCTGCGACCCTATCTATCGAACAGGATTGATGGTTCCAGTGAATCATTTCAATTACTGCATGTTCACTAACGATTCTTGACTGTTAATTTCTTGTCACTAACACACGTAGGTAGTGAGATCAAAAGAGGCATTTGATCGCTGCAAATATTTGGAATCATTTTGAAATATGATACCAAAGAATCTTACCCAGTTAAAATAGCTAAATGCAGACAGTTGAAAGAGGCTCCAATGAAGTGTTTGCCAAGATTCTGACGCATTGATCGAATCACGAGAGTATTGGATCCATCTAATCGAAAGTACCACTTCATCGCAGCAGTTTTCAACACATTCACAAGGCAGATGGAGTAGGAATTAGAGGGGGAGTGATCACCTTCCTGTTGGTGTGTAGATAGCTGCTCTTGGCCGCCTTCATCACCTTCATCAGGAACGTCCGATGCAGCAATCTCAGTCATGTCGTCACAGGGATAGTCCAGAAGTGCACAAACACAATCAATATGTCCGTAGAAGGCAGATATTAGCAGAGGTGTGAGGTCACAATCGTCAACTAAGTCCAAACTACAAAGCGGCAAAATAAGCAGAGAATCAATCAACAAAAAATGCATTATTTACAAGATAATATCAATCGCACTATTTGATTAATATTTTAGGGGGTGTGCGATAGACTTACCTCCACGTGGTGTACCCTGGGCAACGTATACTCATAGGTCAAAAGTCTATAAACTGACAGTTGACTTCTGACTTTAAACAACCATGACCCCCTTTCTGCCATAGTCCACTTTCACAGTACTCATCCTACCTTTTCTCTGCCTTTGTGTCTGTCTGTCTCTTTTGCATCTGTGAAGCACCCTTCTCTTCAACCTCTTGAATTTATCTCACTTAGATGTTCCTCCTCCTCTCTTTGAAGCCCGAAGTCAACTAAAGGGCTAATGATAACCATCAAAACGCCTGCCATTTGAAATAAATACATATTTTAGCCCTATAGGGGTGGTTGGTGATTGTGCTAGTGCTCACTTCTCAAAAGAACTTACTATCAATAAGTGGAATTATATTTCGATAAGAGACATTCTAATAATCATGGACTTTTGTACGATTCGAAGCGTCCAAAAATGAGAAACTCG